GCAGACCTACCAGCGAACAGCAGCTGGCTCAACCTAACAGCCGGCTTTTATAGCCGACTGTCGAAGGGAGCCAGCCAATGGGGACTAAGAACGCCCCCGTAAGAGTTGCGGACCTGATGGGGAACTGGTGTCAGCCCCAAGGACATAACACAAGGAATGCATAAGGCATGTTGGGAAGAGATTGGGAGATATAGGGGAGTTAGAAGAAACAAAGAATATAGATAAACCAAACCTGCAAGACCCTCTACTTCATAAGAACCATTGATATTTCCTACCAGCCATTAACATTCTGGGACAGACGCTTTTAAACTTTGCTAAGTCATACATGTTTTCAGCTATTTAAACTTAACTCGGAAAAAGAAGATATGGCAGGAAGTGCTTACTGCTGAGTAGTAGGCAGTGCTCACAGAGCTGGGGGCTTGTTTTAAGACTTTTTGCTGCCTGACAGGCCAAGACCCTAGGCAAATCACTGGCTGGGTCTATGATAGTTGGCAGCCATTCAGAGCTGGTCCTTTGCCAGCAGTCTTACTAGATAGCCAGACAGATCAATTCACTTTTACATTCCTGCCATTATTTATAGTACACTGTATATCTGCTCTTGCTTATGAACTAATGATTAGCAAATACAGTGCTCATAAAACAAGGATTTTATTTGGGAAAGACTTTCTGCTGCTGATATTTCAGATAGTTTTACAGGTTAGAGAGCCGCAAGAAGGATTTAAAGGGCATGATTTGTGAAGCATTTCTTCCTTTGAAAGAGATGTACATGTCAAGGTACAAAAAAGTCGAATGGTATGTTTGAAAAGTATGAGTTTTTGCATCTGCTTTTTCACATTTTAAGGATTTTAACAAAAAACAGAAATGTTTATGGAACATCTTTTATTTAGTTTCTACAATACTAATCAATATATTGACAAGGGTTTTTTTGTTTCCTTTAAACTACAAGGCTTCTGGATTTGGGATTTAAAATTTTGTATTACAGAATAAAAGAATACTCTATTTAACATAAACTGGCTAGTTCAGTTGCCAAATATATAAATCTATTAAAGAAAAATATTAAAAACAATTGATCTGTTGTAGAATATTAAAAACCAATAGGAAATACAGGTGTTATTTATTACTAACCATTTTTAATTGGGTTGACATTGTGCATAATATTCCGTACCTTCATGCATAAAATTACACTAAAATTTGAGGAAGTTTATAACTTTTATCAGACTTCAATAATTGAACAAATAATAGTCAAGACCATTTAGCTGTTTAATCTTGTCATACTCAATATATCACAGTATATCCTCTGCCTTTCCTGTGTGCTTACCAAATGTGTGCTTCAAATGGCCAAAGATAATCAGTTTCTAATCTAACAAACATCTGTAAAAGCAGAGTAGCAATTCTCTGGTCTTCAGATGGAATAAGATGCAATGAGAAATTTTCTTGTTTCCAAATGCCTGTGGAGGTAAGCACAGCTGCAGGGAATAACCATCACCCTTTGAGCCTAAACATGAGAATTTACAGATGTTTTCCCATGTATAAAGTACTAATCTCATGCTGCTTCAGAATCCCTCCATTATGAAATATAAATTAGACCATGATCTCTCCCTTGTCTAAGCTGGGGGAGGGGCAAATTGATAACTACAGACTTTGCTTAACTACCATGAATTATGACTTGACATGCATTCTTGTTATGCCTTTAAATTAAGTTTGCTAAATCAGAAGAAGCAGTCAATGTTGACCCATTGAGATAAGGATATCTTTCAGGAACCTCTGAAATCAGGGGGAAAATCAATAGACATTTATGAATTTAAATAGTTATACATGTGCTTATATCCTTTTCAGATTTCAGGGCAGTGTATAGTAAATAATCATAACAAAAACATAGTAAGAAAATCCATTAAAATTATCTTTTAACAAATTTAAATGTCCAAGTGTAATACAATAGATAGGTAAAAGGTAAAGGTTTCCCTGTCCAGTTCTCCAATTCCAGGGCACTCATCTCTGTTTCTTGGATGAAGGAGCCAGAATTGTTTGAAGACATTTTACAGCATGGCTATATGCCAAAGGTGCATGGAATGCTATTATCTTCCCACTGAAATGGTACCTAATACTTTACTTTATTGTCATTGCACTTCGTACAACGAAATCAAGCGCCATGCTCAGTGCCCATCATGACCATGTAAATAAACACAAACACACATCCTTCACCCTTCACATATTGAACCGGAAACCTCGACACCACACCAATACTGCACTATACAGCAGAATTCAAAAGAGCTACTGCCCTGGGATAGAAGCTGTTTTTCAGCTGTTTATCATTTCATTAATAATATGTATATGTATATGTATATATATGTGTGTGTATATATATATACATATACATATACATGTATGTATGTATGTATGTATGTATGTATGGCATTCAGCTTTGTTCGGGTATTTTCCCACGTCATTGTAGTTGAGCTTTTAAAGTTGTAGCAACGTTTCGGCAGAATCTCATCTGCCATCATCAGGCTTCTGTATTGTGTCCATCTGTCAGTCAGGCCCCCACAGTTGTTTCAGTTTTAAATTTGGGGCAGCCTATTGCTGTGCCAGAATGGTTTTTTCTTCATCCTGATTGGTTGGGAATCTTGGTCTGTGTTTATTGGTCTTGGAGTTTGCTGTGTTCTGCTTGATTGGTGTTTCTAATATCTTCTGTCTGTTTTGTGGCTCTTTTTGTATCTTGATTGGCTGGCAACATTGTGTTCCTTTATTGGAGGCCTTTTGTGCAGCTTGGCTCCGGGTAAATGGACGGCTATCATTTGTTAGGAAGCTAGGTTTTATCTGGGTGCCTGGTTGAGGTGTGTTTGAACTGGAGGTATCAGGGGGGATCTGTTTGTGTCCAGGTGTTTGCCTGGCTAGTGGTGTGGAGTTTTTTTTGTTTGTGAGTGCAGGCTTCCAAATGATTGACAGTCTGGTGGAATCATCTCTTCTATTCATGCTTTCAGGTCTTTTTTTCAATCTCTATGGCTTCTCTGATGATTCTGTGGTTGGGGTTTTCTATAGTGGCTAGGGTTTTGGTGCCATTGAAGTTGATGCTATGACCTGTGGCTTCCATGTGTTGGACTAGTGAGGAAGTGTGTTCCAGCTTTTTGACTGCATTTTTGTGTTCATCCAGGCGGGTACTTATTCTTCTATTGGTCTGTCCAATGTATGTGGCCGGGCATGATGCACAAGGGACTTCGTATATGCCTTGGTTTTCCAGGTCAATTTTATCTTTGGGGTTTCTAAGGATGGCTGCTATTTTTCTGTCTGTTTTGAAGGCAGTCTTGATGTGATGTCTGTGTAGTATCTTTCTGATTTTGTCTGTAGTACCTCTTATGTAGGGCAGGACAGCTGTTCCATAGGTCTGTTCATCTTCTGGGTCTCCATTATGTCTCAGTATGTTTTTGTGGATCAAGCCAGTGATTTTGCTTTTGTGGAAGCCGTTGGCTGTCAGTACTTTAGTCGGGGTGCATAGTTCAGTCTTTATGTGTGTCTTGTCTGCCAGGCATTTGTTTCTGGCAATTAGTGTTTTGGCATGGAGTTTATCTGTGCTGGGTGGTGGTGGGATTGGGTGCTGAGGTAGCTCTTGGTGTGTGTTTTCTTCTGGTATACGGTGTGTCCCAGTGTGCCATCTGTTTTTTTGTAGCTTAGTACATCTAGGAATGGTAGTTGTTTGTTTGTTTCCATTTACATGGTGAACTTGATTTTGGGGTGTGTGCTGTTTAGGTGTGTTAGGAAATTGTTTAGGTTTTCTTTTCCATGGGCCAAATCACGAATGTGTCATCGATGTATCTTAACCATAGTTTGGGTTTGTGTATGGCATTGGCCAGGGCTCTGTATTTGAATTCTTCCATGAACAGGTTTGCAATGATGGGTGACAGTGGTGATCCCATAGGGGCTCCTTCAATTTGTTTGTATCTTTGTATCTATATATTGTTGTATCTATATATATTGTATCTATATATATATATTATATATAATTTGTATGTATGGTATTCAGCTTTGTTTGGGTATTTTCCTATGTCATTATAGTTGTGCTTTTAAAGTTGTTGCAACGTTTTGGCAGAATCTCATCTGCCATCATCAGGCTTCTGTATAGTGTTCATCTGTGAATCATAGTTTCACAGCCATTTCTGTTTTAAATTTGGTGCTAGCCTACTGCTGTGCCAGAATGTTTTTGTCTTCATCCTGATTGGTTGGGAGTCTTGGTCTGTGATTATTCGTCTTGGAGTTTGCTGTGTTCTGCTTGATTGGTGTTTCTAATATCTTCTGTCTGTTTTGTAGCTTTTTTTGTCTTGATTGGCTGGCAACATTGTGTTTTCTGTATTGGAGGCTTTTAGTGCAGCTTGGCTCTGAGTAAACTGACAGCTATCATTTATTAGGAAGCTAGGTTTCATCTGGGTGCCTGGTTGGGGTGTGTTTGAGCTGGAGGTATCGGGGGGGGGTCTGTTTGTACCCAGGTGTTTGCTTGGCTTGTGGTGTGGAGATTTTTTTGTTTGAGAGTGCAGGCTTCCAGATAATTGACAGTCTGGTGGAGTCATCTCTTCTATTCATGCTTTCAGGTCTTTTTTCAATCTCTATGGCTTATCTGATAATTCTGTAGCTGGGGTTTTCTATAGTGGCTAGGGTTTTGGTGCCATTGAAGTCGATACTGTGTCCTGTGGCTTTCATGTGTTGGACTAGTGAGGAAGTGTGTTCCAGCTTTTTTACTGCATTTTTGTGTTCATCTAGATGGGTACTTATTTTTCTGTTGGTCTGTCCAATGTATGTGGCAGAGTGTGATGCACAGGGGACTTCATATATGCCTTGGTTTTCCAGGTCAATTTTATCTTTGGGGTTTCTTGGGATGGCTGCTATTTTTCTGTCTGTGTAGAGAGAAGTGGCTGACTCCACTGCTGTTGCTGCCTCCATGTCCTGCCTGCTGCTCTAACAATGAAATTTAGCACGCTTCACAATGGGGAAGACAGGGTGCTGTCCTCCTTCTTGAGCCCATTATGATGCGGAGCCACAATGTGACCCTGCCCCACTTACCCCTGGCAACAGCAGCGACATTGGCCGTGGTGCGGTGTGGGCCAGTGATTTGGGGCAGGAAGCAAGTTGCACATCCAGCACCAACAAAGGCCGGAAGTAGCCACCTGCCATTTCCTGCTGCAGTCTGTTGGGCAGAGAGACAGAGACAGTGAGAGAGAAAGATTTGGCTTGATGGGAGCTCCATCTGCTCCCCTATCTCTGCCTTTGCCCAGCCTTGCAAGGATTCAGCAGACGCTGGTGATGGGGGGGGGGGTGGTCATCTGTATTTTACCTGCCAGGCATCTTTGGGGGAGCCCGGGGATTATACTTTCTGGCCACTTCAGACTGTGTTGTAGGATGTGTATGCGTGCCTGTATGAGTGTGCTGCTGTTTGGGATGATGCTTCTCTTAGGTGCATGTAGTGATCTAAAGTGGCAACCTCATGGCACTGTGATGCAACAACCTGACAGTTACTCCTTTTGCAACACAAGGTTTATTTTTATATCTTTCCAAAGACAGAGAGAACGTGGCCAAACTTCCTGTAGATCAGACTTATTCCCTAGGTGTGGGGGTTGGGAAATGGGGGTGGGGAATGGACGAAAGGAAGAGAGGGAGGGAGAGAGAGAGCAGAAGAGAGGGAGGAGGGAGGGAGAGAGAGATGAATAGTCCTTGAGGCCAGGTGTGGCAAGAGGGGAGGTGGGGCCAGACATGGCAAATAATTTAACAACTGTTTCTCTGCCCAAATGACCGACTGGATAGGCATGGCTGTGAGTGAGTGATGTCAAGTTGGCCAGGGCCACCTAGTCACACCAATTGTTAAATTATTGGCTCCTGGTGTTTTGAGTGGGAAATGGGTCCAAATGGCTCATTGAGTGTTTAAGTTTACAGGCCCCTGTCCTAGTCAATGAATTGCAGGAGACGGTGGGGCAAGATTATCAGCAAGTCTTTTCTTGATGGCCATGCTGGATGAGCAGAATCTATTTGATAAGGTGGCTGTTGATATCCCAGCAACTATATAAAGCATTATAGGTATTAAACAGCACTTTGCATGAAAACCTGCCTATCAGAAAGTATAATAATAAGTTTAATTCTGCAGCAGCTTAAGCACCATATTCTAAACCAGTTTTAGCTTCTGAGTCATCTTTAAAGGCAGCTCCACAGAGTAGTCCAGTCATATGAGTCCAAGAGATTCTAAAATCATGGAACCCTTCCTGTGGCCAAGAAGAAAAAAGCAAGAGTCACGTACAACATGCAGAATAAGGATTGTAACAGCCAGTATGTAGGAAAGACAGAGGAGATGAGAGACTAGCAGAATGCATCCATGTAAACTAGGGGTGTCAAATTTGCATAGAAATAAATAGGAATTAACATCAGACAAATGATCGAGTAGAAAACGATATCCTAATCAAGGAATTGCCAAGAAGAATATTCAACCCCACCAACTCTGGCAGGGCAGGCTACTGTATGTTATCTAGTTGGATAATAAAATGTCTTCAAGCAAGCAACCAAACTCAGAAAGTATGAAGTACTCCACAATGTATCTCTAATATATCATTAATTGATTTGTGCCATCAGTGATACTTCTTTTTTGTTGAACCCATTTTTAACAACTTTCTATTATTGCAGTTTTAAATAATGCTTGGTTTTAAGCTTTAGAATTTTTATATTTTGTATTTCAAAACAAAAAATTCTTCTTTAATACAAACATTTCAATGCTTTAATATATTTTCAGTATATTAGTTGGGAAAGAGGCATAACAATGTTTTACTTGTTGCTGCTGTTTGCAAAAAGTGCTGGTTTTCCACTGAAGCAGAAAAAGATTGTGTTAGCTGCTGTAAATGCAAATTCTGGACCAAGCAAAACTGGAATTTCAGCAGGCTGTGCAAACAGTGAAAAGGCCAGCATTGTTCAGCTTATTTTGTTGATAAAGATGTTAGCACAAAAGAGGCTGGAAGAATCTGTATAAATTTCTGGAAAACCTTCTATTTTAGAAGCTGTTAGACTAAAATACTGTGCAGCTTAAAGTTCAGCCAAGCTAAACACTGTGGTAACAAACATTCTGTTTACATATTAACCAGGAGTAAACTACCATTAAAAAGATGAGCAAGAAAGAAATCTGTCATTCTTTTCAATCTTGGACTTTATCTTACTTTAACCTGATGCTGCAGGTTAATTTTCTGTTTTTAAAATACAATATTGTTTTAGTATTTTTATAATATAAAATACTTCTTTTTATAATATAAAAACTTATAGGGACATGACCAGTCATTACCAAGAGTCAAGCATGACTCTACTTTAGACCTTTTGTACAATGTAAAATATTTAAATACCAAATAAGTGCATGAATTAACAGATCTTAAATTGTCCCTATACTTTGAGTTGCAAAGTTACACCTTTAACACTCAAATCAACAATAGCCATGCAATTCTCATTACATTTGGGGATAGTTCTCCTTGTAACAAGATTATGATTAGATTATATCATTGAAAAGGGGAAAAAGCTTGTATGAGTTGACAGAACAGTTTAACTCACTGTTAATATTTATTTGAGATTAATGGAATTTATGAACATGCCAGAATAAAGAAGAAACAGAATTAAGAAAAAGTGTGAGGAAAGTAAGGTAGTAAAAAAAAGGAGAGGGATTGTCCCATGGAAAAGAAGAACTATATTATTCACGATTTAGTAACAAAAATTTATTAGAGACAAAATCACCTAAACTGTAAAATTTGATATGAAGTCACAAAACTAACATTTGTAGGAGACTAGTACAAAATAGTTAAAATGAGCAGAAATTTTATATCTCTGATATATAGAATTTAGCTTTTGGTAGTTTAACCAGATTTTAAGACCTTCCTAAATTCTTCATCCTCATAAGGCCTCTGCCACTGAGAATTTGTAGATAACTTGGAATGTACCACATGCAAATTGCCTCACCAGCTCTTTTAATGGGTTTGCAAAAGCTGCCTGGAGAGCAAGCTGTTGGGTAACTAAGTCCCTAGAGACTGTATAAATCTGGCCTTCAGTAGCTAGCCCCAAGGCAGATAGGAAGTCTCTGCCAAAGTCTAAGCCAGTCTCCTGATTCTGTCTCCTGATTCCCTGTCTAGTGTATTAAACACTCTGCAGTACTTCCATTCTTACAGTTACCTTTTCTGAAGTTAGTCCAGCAAGTAGTGATGTTTAGTGGCATCCATATACAAAAAAGAATAATACTTTGCATTTGCCAACTGCTGTTAAAACATCACCTAATTAAACATTGTAACCACAGTGTGGAAGTTCTTAACTGTAAAAACTGAGTTTGGAGCATATGCCGATACACACTTTTCATATACAGTACAGATAAAAATGCATAGAATATATCATAAAATATGATAGGTATGAAAACGTAAAAATAGTGTAAAAGACATTATGCTTCAATTTATTTTTTATGAATAAAGAATTGTGTTGTTTCGCTTTGTGATTTTCCTGAAAAGTCATGCAGAGTAAAATACTGAATTATTGAAAACTGGCATTGAATGTGGTCATCTAGGTTTGGATAGTATCTATCATGCCAGCTTAATTTCTTTCTGTGAATGTAATATGTGCAAATGAAGTAATTTATTTGGAATGTGTTTCATCAGAATTGATTACAGTTGCCTTTGGACTGCAGATAGTCCTCAACTTATGACCATTCATTCAGTGACCATTTGAAGTTATAGTACATTGACAGTCCCCAAAGATATGGCTGTTGCAGTGCCCACATAGTCTTGTGATCAAAATGTGGGTGCTTGGCAGACTGTCTACACTTCTGACTGCAGGCACTTTTTAACTCCCTCCACTCCCTTTTTAGTCTTCCATTGATGGCTTTTTCGGTCCTGCACTCCTCAAATCCTGATGTCCAAACTGATCTTTGCCATCCCTCTACTGATCAAGCATGTTACGTCTGCCCCTTTGTGAGGCAGCTGCTGGCTGCATGAAATTTTCTTCCCAAAGTCTCGCACTGTGGTTTCCTCACAAAGCCTTAGGAAGATGGTCTCACATGACCAGCAGCTACGTAGTGAAGAGCCAGGGCAGGCACATCTTGTTATCAGTGGGAGAAGCAGAAGGAAGAAGATGATGAAGTTCAAATGAGGCGACAGAATGCAAAGAGGCAGAGGCCTCAAAATGCGGCTTGGTGAAGATGACTGCAGCTGTGATTGTTATGGATATACGCCATTCTGCTGAGTTGGGCTGGGGTGGTGTTATGAATTGTCTTTATGATTTATTTATAAATTAAATTTATAGGCTACCCAACTCATAGCAGTTCTTTAGAAGTTTAGAGGATAGATTGCAGAACATGAATTGTGTTCCCATTCAAGTTCATGCACTTATCATTTTTTGAACTTGTTCTAATGTTCAGTACTATTATATGTACAGAAATGGATGATCTTGACTGTAAACATAATTCCGATATAGATCTAACATATGGATGGTTGTTAATTAGATTCAGCTAGCCATGCCTGTCCATACTTGAAGGTGAATTATTAGCTTTTGGCCAGATAGGAAGCAACAGGTGAAGCTAGGAAAAATTACATTTAATACCCAGGCAATTAGCAAGGTACCCCTCAGGGCTGTGTTCTCTCTCCATTGCTTTTCTCTCCATATACCAATGATTGGACCTCAGGGAACACTCTGTTAAAGTACTGAAGTTTGCAAATGATACAACAGTTATTGAGACAGTGGTGAGACTGTATAGGCAGGGATATTGAACAGTTAGCCCTATGGATCAGCCAGAACAATCTGGGACTGAACATGCTTAAAACTGTAGAGATGAAATGGATTTTAGACCACCTCTTTTCTACCACCTCTTACTATATTCAACAGCACAGTATAAGCAGTAGAATCCTTCAAGTCCTCCAATAATCCTTTTATTGGAGGACTAGAAGACCTCCAAGATCCCTTCCAGGTCTTTTCTGATTGTATTGTAAAAAGCAAAACAAAGAATGCTTTTCCTGCATCAGCTGAGGAAGTTCAAATTGCCCCTGGAACTAGTGATACAGTTTTACAGAGGAATTAATGAGTCTGTCATTTGTACTTCAATAACTGTCTGATCTGGTACAGAGTCCAACAGATCACGTAAAAAGAACAATTGCAATCAGCCTGCTTCCATAGAAAATCTGTATATTGCACAGGTCAGAAGGAGGGCTGAGAAAATATCTACAGACACTTCACATCTTGGACATAAACTGTCCCAACTCCTCCCCTCAGGATGCCTCTATAGGGCATTGCATGCCAAAACAATTAGAAGCAGGGACAGTTTCTTCCTTCATGCCATCACTATGCTGAACATTTAATTCTTCCAATACTGTATAATGTCTATGTACATTTATCCATGTTGTATGGCAGTGGAATTATTACTATACTTATTTTCTTTATTATCTCCTCTTATTGGTGGTATGTTTATTATTACTCTGTTGCTTTACATGTAGACTGAAAGCTTCTTCACTAGAGACAAATTCCTTGAGTGTCTAATCACACTTAACCAATAAAGTCTTCCCTTCCCTTCCCTTCCCTTCCCTTCCCTTCCCTTCCCTGTTTTTGTTGCATGTAAGACTTCTTACATTCTTGGAGACAATGAAAGTGTATTGAACAAAGTTATAATTTAAAGCAATTTCTAAATATGTAGTATGTGATAAGTACTGATATCTTCGCTCTTAAAAAGTGAAGAAGGTCCATCATGGGTTTCTCATTTCCATAATGAGAAATGTCTACTACATCATTGTTATCTGGAAGATTTACTCAATATTATTATTTCACTGCTTTAAAAACAACAACAATCTATAGGGAGTCCTCCGTTAAAAACCAATCATTCTGTGACCATTTGAAGTTACCATAGTGTTGAATGAATGGTGGTTATATTTGATCATGAAAATTCCACTTATCCAGCACCCCAGTTGTCACATAACAGCAATCTGGGTGCTTGGTAACCAGCTTGCATCTAAATGTTTGCAGCATCCCATATCAATATATATATTATTACAAGTAAGGCAAGGTGGCAAACATATCCAACACACATTCCTCTTCTTATTTGCCAAACAACAATCCTGTGAGATGAGTTGGGTTGGGAGATAGAACAACTAGCCCAAAGTCACCCAGCTGACTGTCATGCTAGAACTCGCAGTCTCCCAGTTTCTGGCCTGATGCCTTAACCACTAAACCAAACTAGCTTCCATGTCATGTGATCACAATTCACGATCTTTCTTGACAGCTTCCCATAGGTAAAGACACTTGGGAAGCCAACAGGTTGCTCACATAAGTCTCCCCTGCTCAGACACTCTCCCTGAGTTTGAGGTGCTTGTCCCACACTGTGCTGTTCACTCAAACATCATCCCTAAGCCCCTCTTCGCTCACCCTGTCTTTCCCAATCACTCGCACATCCTTCCTGAAACTTGCTGCCCTCACAACACATCTTCCACTCTTGCACCCTCACACAGCCTCTCCCACTTGGTAGCAGCCAGTTACCTGCCTGCCAGCCTGGCTTGCAAATTACTTGGGACTTCTAACTTTAACTTCCCCTAAATTCTGCTGAAGATGTTACCTAGCTTGGTAACAAAATGTTTGGAAACCAACCCACAAGCTCAGAGGACAAACATTCAGCTTCACTTCTAACTTCTTTCCGTCTTCCCCACTGTTTTTCAGAAGATAGCAGAAAGTTACAAGTAGTGCTTGCTTAACAACTCACAATTTCTACTTAGTGACAGCAAGGACCTCGGGGATTTCCATTACTAAGTGATGCAGTAGTGTGACATCACACTTTATGCCACATCTTTTAGCGATTGAGATTCCTATCCCAACTGCCGTTGTAACTTGAGGATTACTTGTATAAAAATTTTTAGCACTTATTCAGGAGCAACCTTATCCTCAAGAAAATAAATCATAGGATTTCAGCTATTGATTAATAGAAAGTAGGTTGATTAGAAATGCAGGACAAGTCACCGATTTTACCATGGTACATAAACAGACTAAATACTTGCTTCCCAATAATAATGTTCTCCAGAGTATCTCACTATACTTTGTAGATTTAATGTTCTTTTCTTCCATTTTACAAGAAGATCTGTTATTATAGCCTGTATGTCTTCCTATAATTATTTCTTAATTAAAATGTAATGGGGTCAGAATGAAGAACAAAGCCTCTATAGTACTGTTTTTCCATACTTAAGCATTTACTATTTTTAAATTATGTAATTCTGTATGCTGCTGTCTGACTGCATGATAATCCTTTTCTATAGTGATATTTTAAGTAAGAGTGAGACAGTGAAATACCTATCATGGCCACTAACAATTATAATATTTATCTTTGATCCTTGTTGATATTATTGGCAGTCATAAACTAAGCACTTACATATAATCTTTAAGGGACAATCCTAAAAAATCCAGGACTTATTTTTATTTTTGTTTCCTTCAATATAAGAATCTACAGCTATCATATATATTAACTGTATTTACAGCATTACCCTGTTTTGTTTTCTGGTAATAGATCTGAGAATTTATATATTTCACTCTTATTTTTAACAGTTTATGCCTCTTGCTGACCAAATAATCAGTAGATTTTTTGCTGTGTGTATTTGTGAAATTCAGGTTTCTCTTTTAGAATTTTAAAGATGTTTTTCTTAATTATAATATGACAAAATATCAGTGTAACCATATAAATATTTTTAAATTTTTCAATTATTAAAATGGCTAAACTTTAAAATCACTACTATGATTTAAAACAGTTTTTAAAAATGCCATTTCATCCTAATGTTAAAAGTATAATGGAAAATGGTAAATTAATTGCTTAATTAGGAACTTAGCAAGCTACAGAATGCTAGATCAGAATACGTATTTAATCTTATTCAGCCTGCTTTAATTTGACTTTGTCCAAAATCTCGATCAGAGATCTTGAACATCATTTGATCTTTTCCCCTTTAACCTGGAACCTTTTTCAAAGAAACAAGGGCTATCAGTGCTAATCTGCAGAAATACAGGTAGCCATTTTATGGCAGCAAAGATATATTGGACAAAATTATTTTCTGCCTTCTAATGGTGGTTAGGATTTTTGCAGCCCTGATCTAATAGCCTAATGCAAAATATATCCTCTAAAATTGAGGTTCTGTTCCTTCGTTACTTTAAGCTATTGTCATGAAATAAGAAAACATTCAAATGCACATTTAAAGTATGTATAAACACTTTAGATAAACTAGAAAATTTAGTTCTCTTCCCTTTAAAACAAAGACATTCTTTTCTATGAAATGTTCATGCCACATTTTTTTTCTGTCACTTGCAAATGTTGTCGACTGAACTATTAATTAGCTAAGATGACAACCCCAAGAAAACACAAAATATAACACATGTTACGAATGTGTTGGTGGAGTGCTTAAGTTATCAGGCTAGAAACTGTGAGACAGTGATCTCTAGTCCTGCCTTAGTTTCAAAGTCAGCTGGGTGACCTTGGGACAGTTATGTTCTCTCAGCCTAGAAAGGAGACAATAGCAAATACTTCTGAACAACCTTGTCAAGACAATTGCATAGACTTGTCCAAGCAGCCTCTGAGAATCAGGCACGATTGAACCGAAGGAACAAAAAAATGAACTTATATGGATTTCTTAAATTTGTAATAATAAGTTTACTTTTCCCCCTCAAGATTACCTCTGCAAGGAAAGCAGAGGTTAAGAAAGTTACAAACTTAACTTGTAATCAAATATAGCACTATATTTTATTAGCATATTATTTTATGAAAGGGATTTTACAACAAAATGCTTATGTTCTACAAATAAAATCACATAATAAATAGGTTAACTATGTTTTAATTAAACATTGTATATGACAGCTTGATCCTAATTTCCTGGTAATGTTATTGGTCAAGAAAAACAATAGAATAAATCAGTGGTCTTTCTTGGACATTTTTGCAATGAAAAATCTTTTTCTGGACCATAACAAAGAAAAGTGTGCAGTTAGAATGCACAACTTAAAGCTGAAGAAGGAGGGGAAGGGAAGCAATCCCAAACACTGAGTAAACTCAGCTCTATACCCTAAGGGATGTAATATGACATAACAGCACCAGTATTGACTTTTCATTTGCAGCCTCTTGACAGCTATAGCTTTTGAGAGGAAGGGATTTCAAAGACAATAAGCAAACTTGGACAAGAAAAATAAAGTTTGCATTCCTTTTTATTTAGATCTGACACATAAAATGCAAGACAGATAATAATCATTGCTGTTTAAATCTATAAGCAACGTGACACAACCCCAGATATCTTGGATGCTGTCTGATTTTGAAGCCTCATTTCAATAGGAAACAAATTCTGATGTGTTTGTTTGCTTTATCTTTCTAAATACCAGTGCAGTGTAATATTTCTTATATACCTTTATCCATCCTTTTCTTTATTGGGTAGTTTGTTAAGTTTTAAAGTATTTTAATTTTCATTTACTGAATTATTTGAGATATAAATTAAATAGAAGAAAATCCTTTATTGGGGATTTTCTTCTGTATAATTTCCTAATATTTTACAAATATTATCATTATGTATGATAATCATGCAACAAAGGAAAGCATATATCTAAGCCAAGAAATAATTATAAGAAAGTTGGCATCTTATTAAATAAATTTAATATTTATAGAAAACAGCCTCCCTAAAATGTCCTGCAATCTGCACAAATTCTCCTACAGGTACAGTCCCTTTTAAATATGTATTGTGTAGTTTTACACTGTATGTATTATGTTGACCAGGTTGAACATGTTTGGGTTGAATATTGCTTTCTTCTTAATAAAGAGGCAGTTGTGATAACATTACCTAATGGAATGCACTTTTTCTGTAGGCTATCTAGTCAGTTAATATGTTAATAAAGGCAACTGAACAAAAAAAAAGTAATGAGTGGGTCAGACTCAAGAAGAATCATATACCGCTCACTCCTGCTTAGAGAAAAAGAAAAGCTTCTGACAGAGCTTCTCCTCCTTTCATTCCATCGTTTCAAGAATTGCTTTGCCAATTCTTCACAGCAAATAGTAATTTTAGGTGGACCAACATAGAGCTCAGGTTGTGAGCACTCTATGGTTATAATAGAGTGCCCTCCCTGGAGTCAATAAATCCAACAATAGAGCCATTTTTTCCCTCCTGTGAATGAATCACTGCTGTTAGTTGGAATGACAGTATTGCTTATAGAAACCAAACCCTTCACCCATGCTGACCTCTTCTAGAGAATTTGGGGGCCAAGTAATGTTTAAAACTGTTATAAGTAAACATCAGTTTTGTCTGAATGAAAGAACAGAAAATTGTTGAAATACAGAGGTGTGTATATATTAAATATTTTGTGCTGTGAAATTTCTAACACATTGTAGATTGTTTTTTAAAATCCTATCAGGTTTTCCATCTATATGGACATGTGTTTGTGCATTAATTCTCTTTTTCCACCCTATTCCCTTTATATGTTAAAGGTAAATTATTTAAAACAACCTCCCCCAACTTAATGCCTCCAAGTAGAGTCAAACTTCAAGTTTCAAAGTGCTCAGCCAGTATTATTGATGGCTATATTGCTTGGGAATTAGTGGAGTTGAAGTTTGACACATCAGGGAACATCAGATTAGGAAAAGCTAATCAAAAACCTTTCCAAACAATTTATCCATACACACTTCTTATCAGATTTTAACATTCAACCACTATATTTTCTTCTACAGATCCAAATGCATTGCAGTCAGTTCATCACTGTTATGCATAGAGATGTCTCTATCAGTTTTAAGAATGTTATTCATTCATTGATGAGCTGACAGGAAATATGTTCAAATTTTCACTCCCCCATTCTATATGATTATTCCTCTATCAGAGGGCTGATCAAACAAATGGCATTAAACAAGCAAAACATTAGGCGTCATAGATTTGTGCTACAAATTACCATTTTGCATGTATAGTGGCATTCCAAAAAAGATTAATTTGTCCTTGAAGAAATATTTCCAGGTATAAATGATGAATTGGGAAATTGAACTGAATGGCAGTGCCATACTGCCGCTGGAAGAAAAGTAGCTGCACTTATAATAAATTTAAGTAAATAAATACCAACAGCAGCAACAAGGCAAAGAAAATGACAATAGATTTGAGAAAGGAAAGAGAGAATAAGACCCCACATGCATTTGAAATGAAAGCTTCTAATTGCAGATGCTGTTTGTACATATAGAGGGCACCATGCTATAGTTCTTGGTCTTTTAAAAATGTTGCAGTGAAGAAACATTTAGCCTTTAAAAGTTATAAGTAAAGGTTTACAAATAAAATAATTCAGGGCCTTCAGAAGATATGTGGATCAATTTATATAATTTATAGGAAATGAGATATCCATGAAACACCAGACTACAATACTAGCAGATTTATTTATTTATTTCCGTTGTTTTATGTGATTTCCTTTGCTAAGCATATATTCACATTCAATATGCAAACTACAGTTGTAGTGGATATGCACTTATGGGATATGATGGAAAATTCAGGATTTGAATTGCCATCTGGAGAAATATCAAGGACTTGCAACTAGTTAGTATTTATGTTATGAAAAAAGTCACCTTGTAAAAAGTGATCATTTAACAATTGTAATAACGATACATTGGAAGTGGTGAGAGCTGAATGCAATGAAATTGCATTTTAATGTATGCTGATTAGTGTACATTCAAAGTGAAAATAAAATTATTATAAGTCTATTCTAGGTCTAATAGGCATGTTTAATTTAGTGGTAAAGATAATTTTTGGAGTCAAAAATTGGTGTTATTATTTTATTATTTTAAAACAATCTGAACCTCTCCATACCCTTTTGCTTTTATACTGCTTTCTTAGTTTCTTAGTTTATGTGTCTGTATATTATATAGATTTTAATATGACAATAATTTACTATTATGTTAAATAACGCAAGACCATTTTGTTAAAGATAACCCAAAATGTAAATACTCAACAAACATACATGGTCTTCTCAACTTTATTTTAAAAGGTACCTACCAGTTCAGAGGTTTGGGAACCAATTATGTGAAGTTGCTATGTGGAACTTCTGCTGCTAATATTATGTAGTTTGTTCTAACAAGCATTTCCAATAAATAGTTGCACTCATGAAAATTTTATCCTGGAGGAACCCTTGGAAAATACGTTCAGGTGTCAGGGAACCCTTACATAAAAATTATTATATCTATACCTCCCACTGCTTGGTGTTTCCCAGAGATCTCATGCTCCCTTTCCCATCCTTAGTGATCTGCAAAAAGGGCAGTTTCAGGACATTTTGGGGATTTATGGATCTTAAAAACAAGA